AGAGAGAGGGGGGGGGAGGGGGGGGAACAGAAAATTAACAACAATGGAGGGAGGTAAGTCAGAGGTATGTTTTCCTGCTTAAATCCACCCAAAGATCTACTGCAGAAGCACAAATCTTGAACACAGAAACACCAACAAATTTTGCAAACAACAAACTTTTAAGAGGAACTTTAAAGCAATACCTGTTGTTTGGCATACTCATAAAGAGACGACTATGAGAGCAACCTCTGCATCACAGAGTAGAGAGAGTTCATAGGGCCTTCTTGAGCAACCCATTGCTCCTTTTGCAGAAGGTGACTTGACGGTTTGATGTGTCTTCGATCCGCTTGACCTCGATCTTTCCCCAAACCAATTTTCGTTGGGGAGAGTCCAGATACATGGATTTGTTTTCATAGGCCATAGTTGCATGCTGAATCAAGCACAAAGAGATCAATCAAGGAGCTAATTAATTAGTTAAAGACCCAGTACTTGAGTTACTCTCTATCTGCTTGATCATGAACAAAAAAGTTGAAGCAAGAAACATATGAAATGAAAACTTGGTGCAATACTACTAGTCTACTACTACAACAACAACTAGCTAGCTAGTTAAGCTCATGGATGATGATAATTAAGGCCAGAAACAGAGGTTTCTACCCTTTGGGTTTTCTTAGCTTTTTCTTTCTCACAAATCCAGACAAGGAGATATGCAGAAAATGGAAGCGAGGTGAGCTGCGAGTTGGGTCTCTATCCTTTGGGTCTTCTTAGGTCGGACCTTACTACTGTTGACTAGTGATAGTGATGTAAATAAACCGTACACTATTTATAATTTTTATAAACAAACCCAAAAATAATTCCAAAAAAGACAACTTGCCATGTTGAATTTAATGTTGATTATTAAATTACTAAATTCGGTGGAATACAATACAAATATTTGTATAGAGGATGAGTCATTGAGATGTGGTAGCTATCAAAAGCATCAACACCCCACAAAATTCTACACTTTCTTTGCATCTTTGCATTTTCAACTTCTAATTTGTCAACCTTCTTGAGCAAATCACGTATCACCATCTTTGAATGCAAGGGCGGAACCAGGAATTTTTCAACGGGTGGGCTAGCTAAAGTTATTAGCTTAAAATTTAATGATCATTTTTTTTTTGTACTTACAATTTCTATAGTCTTTCTAGTGTTCACCCCTTTTTGTGTTTAGTACCTGTGATGGTAGGGTAAAGTTCCCCATTAATCCAAAGACCATGGTTGGTCAATAAATTAACTTTCTTTGTGTGTCGAGCGTGCCACCGTTAGCAATTTTTCAATTCTAACAGACTTGAGAGTAAAAAATAACTTGCGCCCCAAGCTATTAACTGTGAACAAACGATTGTGAATTTGGGTGAGGAATATCTCCCAAGTAAGTTCTTTTCTATGCCTTAGACTGGTAAGGACTTCATAATTTATCTAAATAAAACTGGGAAGTGAAGCAAAAATACATGTGTTTGAAAATAAAAACAAGTTCAAGGAGAACTGTTTGAAATACAGTAAATAAAAGGAACTGCTGAGTCCGGAAATACATCAAAATATTGGACTTCGAATTCTGCCTGAAATGCCATTTCTGAGACTATTTTAGTCAAGC